TTTAATGAAAAATCAAAAGGTTTAGCTAGCACTAAATTGTCTTGTGACCTAATTTTCTTGAAGCTCCCCGCCGTTTTTCAAAAACAGAAAACAGATTCCGAATCAGAATTTTATGGGCTTTCTAATGATAAAGGTCATGAAGTGTAACTTGGAGACGACTCCAGATAGTTACCTAGTTAATTATCTAAATTTCTACAAGAGATATAAAAAATGCGTCAACTGATAAAATGTTTGCCATAACATCATCAACATTTTATCAGCTGACACACTTTTTATATATCTCACCAAAATTGAGATAATTGAGCTTAAAGGGAAAGTATAGGGTGGCCTTTTATTGTAGTGTTTACGATGAATACATCCCCCAGGCCTACGTCCTCTTCACCGACTGTAATGGAGCTGTTAGTGCCAAGTACGACTCTTCCCAAACCATCGATATCGATTACATTTTTGCTGACGAGGGAAGTTTCCCTCATTACCCAATTGTTCCATTCTTCTGTGATAATACCCCAATCGTCACATTAAACTGCGTTCCTGGCTCCGAAAGCAAGTACGACATTCAGTTTGTTGCTGGCGAATTTACAGTAATCCGTTCGTTCCAATGTCGTCCAGGAGTTGGACAGATCAAGTCCAACTGTAGAAATAAAGATGTCAATGGAAACTATTATTGTAACAGAGAAAAGCTTCCATATATGAGAGGTGATTGCTGATAGTTATAAAGCTATTCTTTATCAGTGTGATATTTCAGGTCCAACTGGCCAAATTCCTGACTGCTTGGGACACGGACACGTGGAATACGATTTCGCGAACGCCGAAGCATACATCTGTGTCTGTGACGATGGATATTCTGGAGATTCTTGTGAAAAGCACTAAATGCTTAATGTTTTCTTTTTAATGGAATGAATTTGTTTATTATATAAGAAATTAAAGCAAACTCATTGAAAATTTCTGAAACATTCAAGAAAAAATTGGCCAGCGTTTCACAGCCTAGAAAAACACACAATTTCGGGAAAAGGCTTTTGAGTGCGTTTTCAAATATCTGACACAAAAAAAAAATGAAAAACACTAATCTTTGAAAAATTTTCAGATTAATTTTTTTTTCTGTTTCAAAAAGTAAAGTGTTGATTTATTCTAAATTCCAATTTCGATGAATCCTTCATTCTCCTAATTCTCTAAACCTCTTTTCTCTCTTCTCCCTTTTCTGTCTTGTTAGGATTCGGTCTCCATAGCAACCCATTTCCCTCTATCCTCTTTTTCCTTTCTCTTTTTCATGTATCCCTTTTCTTCCAGATTTTCCCTTCCATTTGTCATATTCAAACTAAACAATGAGACACGAGGGTCAAAAAGGCAAAATTCTGATTCTTGGTCCGCCAAAGGTCAGTTTTTTTTTAGTTTCAGAGCTTAAAAATCATAGCCTGGAACAGCTGGAAACTGTTTGTAACAATTAATTATTAGAGTGATTTTTCACATCAAAAAATGTATCGCAATTTCATTTACCGTCTCTCTAATAGAACGCCATCCAAGCTAACAACTTTGAACTCGAATATATCTCCATTCCTGTTAAAGATATCAAAAAGTGGTCAACTGACAGATTGTTTATCATAACATCAAAAACATTCTATCAAAAGACCACTTTTTGGTACCTCTCATACAAAATGAGATACATGGGCTTGAAGTTGACAGTCTGGGTGACGTTCTGTTAGAGTGTTCACGATAATTTTGAATTTGAAATTAAAAAATAACCAAAAGATTCGTTTCAAAATTGTATCCAAGGCCTGGTTTAAAACTTTAGGACTGATCAAAACTCTGTAATCTTCCTTATTGCTCATTCATTTTCCAGGCTGGCAAAACAACTCTCTCACGATTCCTAGCTGATTATGCCGAGGAACATGAGAGTGCAAAACGAGGAAAGAAACCAAAAGTGGACAAGGAGAAGAAGATGGAGTTTGAATTCAATACTCCGTACATGCCAACTAAAGGTACAAAAACAACTGCGAATTTCAATTCTCTGAATGCCAAAAAATAGTTGATTTTGGGAACTACGCAAAATTTGTACTGATTAGCCAGACTTTTGTCTGTTGATCCCTTTCGCCACGTAGAGGCTCAGTACATGAAAGGGAAAATGGTTTTTCACCGGGGAAAATACCAACGAAAAACCCCATTGTCTCCCATCCGATCAATAGTCGAGCTGTGCCCCGTTCTAGTGATAAAGACGCCCAGCAAACCATAGCCCGCATGACCGCCTTGACCAATCTAGACCAGTGCCCAACTGGCCTACGTCACAAACGTCGACGTTGATTTTTTTTTTTCGCCCTTATATATGGGGAGAAGTGGACGGGGCTTAACACACCTGGATAATTCCGCCCGCTGGGAAACTCCGCCCCTTTATGGAGGTGTTGCGTCATAACATGTGGACAGATGCACGGTCTCCCACAGAACATCTCCGAACTGCAAAATAATTTTTGATCTACCAAAAAAAATTTGGTGCGATCACAATTGCAGGTCTAAAACCATTGTTTCATCATGTTTTATCTGACTTTGTTGAGATTCAAGATAATTCTAATGATTCTTTAAAAATTAACTAGTGGTTATAGAATCATATATGGTCCTTTTCCAGAAGAAAACATTCCAAAAATGATCGATTTGAAGGTTTCTTACAGAAAAAATGGAACCCTTCTCTCACTCAGTCACTTAGTCAGTTTCTAACATTTCTAGAATATTTTCTTCTGGAAAAGGATCATACATGATTCTATAACCACTAATTAATTAATTTTTTCAGAATCATTCGAAGCATCTTGAATCTTCACAAAATCAGATAAAAAATTCTGAAATCATGGCTTTAGACCTTAAATGAAGATTCTCAAGAGGGCTAGAATTCTGAATTTTCTAGATTATTGGATAGAAACATGCATAAAGGAAAATCGTTAAGCTTAAACAATCTCCGAAAATCTTGCAGGCGCCCGTATTCAAGAATTCGAGAGTCACGAGTTGCTTGATAGTGATCGGGGAAAAATTATAAAGGATATCGAAATTCAATTATGGGATGTCAGTGGGGATAGAAAGTGAGTAGACCTTCGTTTGAGAACTTTGAGCTTATATATCTCGGCTCCTGTAAAAGATATCGGAATTTGGACAACTGACAAAATATTTATCATAATTTTAGCAACATTTTATCAGTTGACACATATTTTATATCTTTCACAGGAAACGAGAAAAACCAGCTTGAAATTAGGGTTCCCTTAGAGCCGCCAATAGACCGCCACTAATCCGTCGCAGCCAAACTTTAAGCTCAAATATCTCGATTCCTGTAAAAAAAATCATCAAGCAATCAACTGACAAAATATTTATCATAATATCATCAATATTTTGTTAGTTAACAAAATTTTGATATTTTTCACAGTAATCGAGATAATTGAGCTCAAAGTTTGGCTGCTATTTATCGATGGCGATCTATTGGCAGCTCTAAGAGGACACTAATTTCAAGCCGATTTTTCTCATTTCCTGTATTAGATATCAGGAAGTGGTAAAAAAAATGTTTATCACAATATCAGCAACATGTTGTTAGTTGGAAACTTTTTGATATCTTCTACAGTAACCGAGATATATTAACTCAAATGTGGTGTATCTTCTCATCTGAATTCTCAGATACGAAGACTGTTGGCCAGCCATCAAAGAAGATGCAGATGGCGTGATCCTCGTGGCGAATCCAGAGGAGCACAACGGAAAAGATTTACAAATCTGGTTCACAGAATTCGTAGAAAAAGAGAATATCTCTTTGAATCGTGTGATGGTGATTCTCAATGAGCAAGGATCCAAGAAAACCAATCATGAGCAGATTTCAAGTTTCGAGTGAGCTAGAAGTTTTTTGAAGAATCTCCAAACTTCTAATTTTCAGAATCCTCCCAAAGCTACGTGGCGTTCATCACTCCGCCCATCACTTTGCATCCGAATCTGCTCAAATGAAGGTTGAGGTCAACGATTTCATGGCTTCAGTTCTTGGAATCGTCGCTGGAGAAGATGATAAAAAATCGGATGATGCTCATGATGAGGTTGTCGATGAGGATGACTTTTAACTAATTTTCTAGAGAATTTGTGAAAATTTGAAAAAAAAATTATTTTTCTAGATTTTTTACAGTCAATATCTTTTCATAATCTTATCATATCTCTTCCATACATGAAAAGAAAGCAGCAGTGGTAGTAGTAAATCTCAGAAGGGGTGGTCAAAAAAGTACAAACACAAATAAAACGGGGCCGCGTACAAGTTATTTGTTGAACCAGTTCAGAAAAATTTTCAGGTAGCCTAGACAAAAAATAACATCAATAGAAGAAAAAAATTGAAAGTACAAGAAAAAATGTGGGTAAATATATGAAAACAAGTATTTAAACCAAAGTTTAAGTCGAAAATTATAGTTGCCACGTGGCACAAGCCTCCTCGAATCGATTCTTGGATTTTTGAATTTCTCTAGAAACGTCTTCACAGAAGACGTCGGTGTAGTACTTCCGAAGGTCCTCCTCTTCCTCCGTTCGTTTTTTGACCCATTCCAGTGCTTCGGAATGCGTTGGTTTTGGATAAATCGGAGCGTTGCTATACCGATCAGCGATCTCCACAAGGATCAACTCCTTCTTCAGAATCTTCCAGAAGACGGCGCGTGTGTTCTGAAGACTAGTCACCTGGCGAATAGCTCCAACGTATTCCATTCTTGGCCATCTATCATGCATATCCGCAAAATCTACGCACGCCTTCTTGAACGCACTCTTCACAGAATCCTCCACATCCACAGAGACCACTCCACTTCTCTCCATGATCTTTCCAATTTGAGCTTCTCGAATCTTAATTCCAACTACGGCGTTTGGCTCCAAAATTCCTCCACGACACGTCTCATCTGCGATGACGTGCACGATACCACGATTGATATTGGAATCCACGACAGCCCACGCACCTCCACGAAGTTCTCCTCCAGCTGGGATGTAGACGATGACTGGTTGTTGGTATTGGGATAACTCATCAATGATGTGAGCTCCAAAAGTGAGCACTTGATCCGACATGTCTTTTCGACCACCGGAGAATCCTCGAAGACTAGCAATCATGACAAGAGGAAGGGATTCACGATTAAAGTCAGAGATGGCTTGTGATGTTTTGAACGCGGATTCGGGGTACCTGGAAATAACAGATTGGGATCAATCAATTAGGGCTCTCATTCTTACCAAACTTGTCCTGCTCTGGTTACTGTCACTTCTTCACTCTTTTCTACACTCTCATCTGCCAATTGTTGTTTCTCATAAGACTTCCACTGCGAACCAATCACTCCAACCGGCAATCCATTCAGTTTTGCTCTTCCCGTCACGATAGATGCTGCCCATGATGTGCAAATCTCGTCGAAAGACCCAAAATCGAAGATTCCTTCTGAAAATTATAAAATTTAAGGATTTAACGTCTTCAGAATCTCTCACGTTTCCCATCAAATCCCTCGATGATATTCCTAACATCCAACTGCATTTCATCCTTGTTCACTTTGACGTCTTCTACCTTTACATCTTCTTTATCCAAGCACTTGAAAAATGGGTACTCTTTCTGCTTGACCGGAAGATACTTGAGCCATTGTACCAACTTCTCAACACCTTCCACGTCCGAGGATACTGTAGCATGAGCAATTCCGTTATTGCTCATAATCTCTACGCCTCCTAGACGATTGTTTGATGCGTAGACCTTCTTCCCCAGCAAAGTATTAAGAGCCGTGGCACCAGTCAAAATGAGATGCGAGTCTTTGTGTTGGATAATTCGCCGAGCCAATCTCGCTGTGTAAGCTCCAATGCCCACCGATCTTCCAGTCACATAGCAATACGTGGGAATCTCTCGATACGCTCTAGAAGTTTCTCCACCAATCGCTCCGGATCCCATCAGATTTTCAACTCCGATGTACTCGTTCTAAAAAAAGAGAGAAGGTTGAAAAGCTCCGCCCACTTTGTGCCTAACCTTCTTTCCTTTAACAGCCACCAATTTCAACTCTTCTCCTTGTTCTTTATACACAATTTGATTTCCGATTCGTTCTTTCTCACTAGAATCCACGTAGAGGTAATCGAAATCATGACCGTTGGGCTTCAATTTCACTTTCAAGACATCTAAAACGTCTCTGGCAAGACCAATACGAGCACCCGAGTTGCAGGAGATGTTGATTCGAGGGATCTGAAATTTCCCAATTAAATTTTCGCAAAACATCGAAAAATAGCTTCAAAAATCGAGAAAATATTAGGAATAGGGGGACCAAAATTTTATTTCTGGAATCTTCTAGATGGTTGTGGAACTGTTTTTAACTTTCCGTTATAATGGAAAACTTTGAAAAAACTAGCTATTTTCCTTGCAATTTTTCGAAAGAAGAAATCGATTTTTTCTTCGATTTTTCGCAAAATTTTCCGACCTTTTTAAGTTTTTCAGCTGTTTTTGAAGATTATTTTTCAATTTTTCCGGTTTTTTGACTGAAATTCGACGGGATGGTGTTCTCGAAGATAGATTACGGTAGAAAGCTAATTTTGTTTCTGTAGTTTTTTTTTGTCTCCATTACGACGTGATATGGGTAGGCACCGCAACGCGAGGGGGCGGAGCCTAATTTTTTTTCTCTTGGGGGGTATCTGGCATGTTTGAAGGCGTAGAACTCGAGACTGGATGGACCGATTTTTATGAAATTTGGTCTCGTTATGTAAAAAAACACGTAGAATCGACTGATGTAAAGCGTTTGCGTTGAAAACCAACGACTTTCAAAATACTCGTGAAAAACAGAAATCGACATGAGAAATTTGGTCTGAAAAGTGTAATAAAAGTCGATGTCGCTTCTTTTTATGATTGTTCTAAATACTTTTTTAGATGGTGAATAAGATGCATTAAGCCATATTTAGCCAGCAGTTCCCCCATTTTTGCAGTAATCCATCAAACTTCAAGCAAAAATTGTGAATTTTTTTCAGCGATGACCCCATGTTTTTAATATCAAAATACTTAGATCAATTCTATGACTGTTCAGATATGCAATTTGATGACATTTGAAAAAGTTTGAGCTAGCAAAAAAAAGCATCCAAAGATGACATGGTTCTAAAATTTAGACGTTTTTGCGAATTTTGACGGTAATGCAGGTCGATGTCGCAGATTTTTATTACATATTCAGATTCTACGAAAAATTTGCTACAATATACATGTTCGAGTTTACTTCTACCTGTTCCCCCATTTTTTTAATATCTCAATTTCCACCTAAAAATGTGAATAAAATGTGTTCAAATCGTTGTTTAGAAAAGAGAGGCAGCGCGTGCTTCATATCAGCCTTTCAATACGCCAACTGTCAGCGCGCGCATGGAGTAGTGGGTAGTGTTTCGGACGGCGCGCCACCGGCCATGGTTCGATTCCTTGCTGTATCAAAAGTCTTTTTTCAGTGGTTTTCCAAACTTTACTCATTCTGTTTTTTTACATCTCCATTTTACTATATTTCGACATGCCGGCTGACGAAAACCAATTGAAACTCTTCACAGCGCTATGAAAAACATCACAGCAATAAATCGGGAATTTTCTGCGCCGCACGTTTGCAAAAGGCGTCGCCCCGCCCACCTTGCCCCGCCCACTTTTCCGTGCCCACTGCAACCCCCTCAGAGAAAATGGATGAAAAAGGGGGTTACAAAAAAGGGTGTATCTCGAGAACGGATGAACATTTTCGAAAAAAAATTCGGAATTATACTAATATTGATATGGTGAATACGATAATATAAACAATTCTCAGGAAAAATGAGTTTGAAAAAATCGTTGTGGTGCCTAGATATGGGTTTGCAAAAAAATTAAGAAAAATCAAGAAAGAATCCTGAAAAGTAGCTGAAAAACCTGAAAAGGTCTAAAAATATTGCAAAAGAAAGTAAAAAAATCAATTTTCCTCTCGAAAAATCCAAGTAAAATTGCTAGTTTCTCAGATTTTTTCGCTTTTTGGAGCTATTATTAACATTTTTGGGTACTATGTGAATCAACATATTATTCTACACATTTTGAGAAATTCAAAATAATTTTAAGATACTCATACCTTCCGTTCTCTTGCCAATCTACTAGCCAACTCAAAGAGCTCATGTTCTGGCTGCGCAAATGATCCCACTTGATGGGTGACATCATTTCCAATCAGCACGAACTCTCGTTGATCGTTCTGCTCGATTTCCAGCTTCATCAGCCACGCTACCACTGAGCACGTATTCAATCCTCCGACGGCTCGTCTTTCCAGCTCTTCTGTGTCAGAAATCATTTGAAGTTGATGAGTCTTTTCGTCAACGATCAGTTCTTGATATTCCAAATTTCCAATGGAAGCGAAGAGATATGGGAAATCGTAGATATAAGTGGTACGGTTCAGACTTGCCAGACTTCTTTTGAAATCTCGCGGATTTGGTGGCAGAAATTCTGGAGATTCCGTCGATGATAGAACTTCTAAATGGAACCTGTCAACCTTCCAAGAAAACCAGAGAGTTTCTGATGAACTCGTCAGCAAGATTTCTGTGACTCCAGCCGCCTTCAAGAATCTCTCGTTTATTTCTAGAACCTCTTCAGCCTGTTCTCTCGAAATATCAATCGAGATGTCGATTCTATTGGCAACAAAATTCGTATTTTTGATACCTGATGAGCAGGCAGTAAACTCCAGAAGAGCTACGAAGACAGCGTTGGTGAGTTGAAAGCTAGAGTATTCCTTTTGTGTGTTCCTAAATCTCATCGATCCCAAGTTTTGAGATTTTTTGATTTCCAAGGGTTCAGAGGATTCAGGCTTCAAGATTTTGGCAACCATGGCAGCCATCGATTTGAAATTCCTTAGTAGACAGGTTTTGTAGAGGGCCATTAGAGATTCTTCATATTCCTGTGGATTCTGAATCGTTTCTAGAATTCCCATTATTAATTTTTCCTTGGTCTTTTGATTAGTGTTCGAGTGAATCAGGTCTACAATTTGCTCAAAAACCGGCGATTCTTCTTGTAGAAGTCGTTGAACAGATTCATCAAATCCATCTCTAGAATCGAAAGGTTCGGCGAGTTCGATGAATCGATCGATTAGTTGGGTGGCATTGGAATTCACAAGTCCAGAAACAAGCTGATTAATCTGGTAATCCATAGCTCCACGACCTTCCAATATCAGTTGGGCTTTCTCAAAATCACTTTTCTCCTCCACTTTCCATCCAGTCATTTTTCCATCAAATTTCTCACTAGTCATTAGTTGATCCTGAATGTGTTTATCGATTTCGAGCCGTCCCAAGATTGATCCAGGATTGATCAGATCCCCATCCTTAGCAATTGGGATCAGCCTTCCAGGCGCCACTTTGGTAACCACATCGAATACCATTTTCATCGATTCAATTTGTGCATAGGTCTGTCCGACTTGAACGAATTCCCCCGGCTGAACCTTATACTCCAAGAACTTTCCAGTATAGGGAGATCGGAGGCAGCTTGCGTCGTTGGTGTCCATTTTCGAGAATTTCAATTTGTTTCCTCCGATTTTAATCAGATACACCTCCTCTGTCTCCTCGAGAACGTAATCTGTAGATTTACCCTGATGGATTGCGAGATTGTGAGTTCCATATTTCAACATTTCGACTGTTGTTTCTTGTGTTCCTAGTCGTAGATGATACTTCAATGGGGTCTCCTCGAAAACGTTCAGAAAATATTTGACATTATTAATTTCCAGCTCGACTTCTGTACTTCTTGATAACTCCACTGGCAGAACGATTTTTCCCGTTCGAAGGTTATTTTCATATCTTTCGAAAATTGATCGAATCTTCGATCTACCAATGGCAGCTGCGCTGATAGCGATGAGATGGTCGATGGGGAGAGTAAGCTTCTGGAATAACTTTTAAAACGATCTTCAGAGATTCAAAAAAAAAACCCTATTACCTGTTGCTCTCTTTTGGCAATTCTCTGATCCAACCACTGCGTATCATACTGATTGGACTTGAACTTCTCAAGTGACAAGAGATCGATGAGATAGTCAGATTGAGTTGGGAACGTCGCATCGATTTTGAGGTTGTGAAGCGCATGTTTGAGGTTGGTAATCGCTTCGGATCGATCTCTTCCGCGGGCGAAGACGTGACCAATTTGAGAATCTGCGAATTCGTGAACGGTGCTTCCATCAGTCAGAGAGAAATACGCCCATGCTTTGGAAGTGGAGTTGAACTTCAAAGATCTCACAGTTCCCGTAGATGGAAGAAATCGATCATTCGGATCTTCACAAGTCACTCGTGCCGCAAAACAGTGCATTTTCGAGTTCTCTCCTCGCTCTTCTCGTTCTTTAAACCGCCGAACGCATGGAATATCCGTTAACTTCCGCCCCATTGCAATTTGGAACTGTAGTGCTGGCACATTAACATCACAAACTGATTCAGTGCAAGGGTGTTCAACTTGAAGACGTGGGTTGAGTTCGAGGAAGAAATATTGATTTGTGGATGGTACGAAAAGAAGTTCCACGGTTCCAGCGGAGTAATAGTCGACGAAATTGGCGAAAGCGATGGCGTCCTGAAAATTTAGGTATTCAGCTAATGGTTTGTATATCAATATGGTGCAAAATAATCGGTAGGATGTCCCACAACGACAACTATCGTAAACTAAAAATTTTTTTTTATTTCATACATAATTTTTTTAGTTTTTTACTGTTTTTTTTCAGTTTTTCTTAATGAAAGCCAACTACAAAACTTTTTTTAGTGCAAAAATTGACTGAAAACCTTAATTTTCAAGACCTCACAAAAAGCTCAATAACCCCGTTTTGCCCAAAAACCAACCTTTTTCATATTCTTCATAATCTCCTCCGGCACAATACTCGCTGGCGCCTCCTCGATAACCTTCTGGCATCTTCGCTGGATTGTACAGTCTCTAGACGACAAAGCAATTACTTCTCCGTGCTTATCGCCGATGATTTGAATTTCCACGTGGCGAGCCCCTTCCATACACTTCATCAGAAAGATCGGAGAGTTCGGGACCTGGAAGACGTTATTTTAAAATTTTTATAGGGCTAAACTTCTTACTTCTATCTCGACTTCTTTAAAAAGCCGTTCGAAATCCTCCATCTTCTCACATTTCCGAATTCCTTTTCCACCTCCACCTTCCGACGCTTTAATCATCATTGGCACACCGATTCCATATTTTTCAATCGCTTCAAGACCTTCTTTCGCACTTTTTATTGTCGCTTGGGCTCGTAATTCGTGAAAGTGCTCAAAATCAACACACTTCTCAACTTTGACATCCCTTCCACTCCATGTGACAGTTGGCATTCCGATCGATTGAGCTATTATCGTGCTGATAATTTTGTCGCCTGAAGCAACAATCGACTTCTCCGATGGACCGATAAAAATGATGTCATTCTTGCGAAGACGTCGTGCCAACTCTGGATTCTCTGAAGCGTGTCCCCAGCCGACGTATACAGCGTCTACTCGAGATTTCAGAGCTAGACTGGTGATTACTTCCACGTTGGCGAAATTTTTAGAATTCGAGCCAGCGGGAGCCATGACAATCTCATCGGCGAGTTTCAGATAGTCTGGAAATTCAGAAAATTAGGAATTTTTCGTTTTAAATTGGTAGGAAATTAAAACTGACGAGATGCAGATTTCATTTCGTCTTCTGTAGCGATACATACAAAACTGACGACATCAGAGGTTACGAATTGATTTTGAAGCCATTGCCGAATCGAAATGAGACATTTCATCGCTGCTAATCCGTTATTCGCGATTAGAACCTGCAAAAATGTAGAGTTTTAAATATTTTTCATTATAAAGAAGTCTCACTCTTTTGATACTTTTACCACCAACAAACTGCCTAACGAACTCTTCGATCCGGTCGGGATCCGAGCTGTTTTCTTCGCCCAAGTCTGACATTTCTGAAAAAAAATTTTTTTTAAGTTTGAGGTGTTTAGCTGGTAATCAGAAGGAAAACAATAGGTTGAAACCAGCAAAATAAAAAAATGTGCTGTCATGAAAGTCCGCAAACACAATCACACAATTTCAAATCTACAGTAATCTACAGTAACTCACTCGAAGAATTTTCGCAAATTTCAGAGTGATTTTGACTCAATTTTTGAGAGGAATTTCAGGTTTTCAATAAAAACTGACTCAATCAGAGATGAAAAAAAATTCCGTTGATCACACTACCCAACTCGAAAGATCTTAAGAGAGAGAGACATAGAGAAAAAGAGAAATCCACGAAAAAACCTGACAACTGTTTTTATTAAGCGAGAGGTTAGAAAAAAGTGTCACAGGATCAGACAAAGCCAATGTGGATCTATATTTTTGGAGGCAGAATGTGCAATCCACGTGGATTGAGCATGTGTTCCGAGCTAGAAAGTTCTGCGAACATGTGAAAATTAAATAGTGGTAAACATAATATTTTTCTAATTTGAAGCGGATACTGAAATATAAAAATTCTAAATAATCACTGTAGAAGTTGGAGACAATTCAATTAAATGTTTTAGGAACTTTAAAAAATTTCGAATCAAAAATTCGGATGTTCATAAAAAGATTAAAAAAAATCTAGAAGTTTTCAGTTTGAAATTTGAAATATCTGTTTTCCCTCCATGACCTAGAAATTCCTAGGCCATCACAGAGAAAAAAAAGCAATCATAACAAAAACAGCTACAAAAAAAATAACAAAGTGAGACCTCATAGAGAGAGTTCTAATCTTCATAAACTTATTCATATACACACAAGCTACAAACACGAAAAAAGAGAGAAAACGAAAAAGAAATTGAGAGAAGTGGTGGGGTTGTGGCTCTCCAAGCTGCTCTCTGATGACTCTTCCCTCTCTGCGCACTCTCTTCGTTTCACACACTCTCTCTCCACGTTCTAAGCCTGGGAGTGGGCACCGGGAGAGAAGGAGAACATTTCAAAGATGATTCGCACATTTTGTGGCTTTCCTTTCACTTCCTGCGTCTCTTTATCTCTAGACTAGGAGGGTCAGCTTGTTTGAGTTTTAATTTATAGGTTTTTCAAAAGGGGGCGTGGCTTATTTGTTTATATGGAAAATTGATTTCTTCAAGGTGTCAAGTTACATCTGATGTATCACTTTTTCTTTGTTTTCCAATATATGCAAATGCGCTACTCGATGCTATCCATATGACGCAATTTTTTAGGTCCCAAGTATTTTGAAATCCTAACCTAGACTTTTGGTTTTACATTTTTTCTTATTTTGCATTTCCTGTATTAGAAGGGTTCTCTGATTTTTAACTTTGAGATCATATATCTCGGCTCCTGTCAGAGATATAAAAAAGATGACAACTGATAAACTGTCTATCATAATATCACATACATTTTATTAGTTGACACATTTTTTAAAATCTTTAATAGAAAATGAGATAAACTGACTCAAAGTACAAGTATTGGGTGGTTTTCTATTACAGGTTCTACGGCATCTTATCAAAACCACTCCGCAGATAATCCTAGATTTTTAAAGATCATCCCAAAAGAGTATCACAGATCCTTCTAGATCATTTTCTCTTTGTTAGTCATATCTGAGCCAAAATGCCCAAAAAAAAACATCCGGGCGAGGAGCCAAATTTTGTTCTTGTTAGGAAAAAAGGAAGAAAGAAGAAGAAACACCCAAACTTTTTGCTGTTTCGCTTTTTACTTCGCTTTTCGATCTCTGGATGTCTTTATTGCTGTTCTAGACTAGGCCAAACAAAAAATATGTTTTGTGATTCATGTGATTTTTGGTTATGCAAGAGAACTTTTCCATATCTTTTTAAAAATTGAGATAATTGAGCTTAAAAAAGGCTAGAGGCGCAGTTTGTCTGGATTCTCTGCACTCTAACCTTTAGCTTCAGATGGTAGTAGCTATGTTAATTTTCGTGCGATTTTATCAAAATCATAACAATCGATTTGGCGCAAAAAAAGCTTCGAAATGAGCCTGAACATGATAAGACTTGACACATTTGTAAAATTTCAAATTTTGGTCCAGAAAATCGAAAATTTGAATTTCTATCTGGTTCTGAAACTTGGTCCACCCAAACTTTTAACTTTGAGATAATTGAGCTCAAAGTTGACAGTGTGTGGGGCCCTTCTATTACAGACCTTACGGTATTAACTTTCTAATTTTAGAATTTTTCAATCAATCCAAAGCACCAAAAGTTCTCAAGGTAAAATTAGGCCTAATTTTTTATTCACTCTCCAAAAAGTTTCCGGTCATCACATATGATTTTATGAGTTTTGTGTCTCTTCTCCTCTGATCAAACATCACTTCTGTACTTTATTCATTACTTTTTTTTTATCCATTTGCTCTTTTTCTATTGATAACTGGAAACAAAGAGACACAGTTCGAAAAATTTTCCAAAAAAGAAAGTGAAAATTGATAAAAGTAGAAAAGTCTTTATTTTCAATTAATCCCTAGGAATTAGAGTCTAAGGCATCTTGCGATACGAGGAAGAGAGCTTGCGTTTCTTTCTAACATTGGTATTGACTAAAAATGTCTTTAATTTTTTTTGCTGAAATTTCAAAAATTATTGGTTTTGTCAAAGACTTTTGGATTTTTTTCTTCCTCGAGTTACCGCAAACGATACAACAGAAGCCCACCCCTCTACTTGCTTTTTGAGGATATATATCTCGGTTTCTGTAATAGATATCAAAAAGTGGTCAATTGACAAAATGTTTTTGATATTATAGTGAACATTTTGATAGTCGACTACCTTTTGATACCTTTTCCAGGAAGCGAAATAATTGAGCTCAAAGTTAGAGGTCATTTCATTAGAGTGCTAACTCTATTTTGATTCCTATTCTATTATCACGATTCATCTAAACCCAACCTATTTCTGGAAATTTCCGGTACGATTTTCTCATTAAGTTTTCTGTGTCCACCCCCATAATATTGTTGTGTTCCATTGTTTGCTCATTGTTCTCTCTTCCTGTTCTCCTTTCCCCTTGTTCTTGTCATTTTATTATTTCGAGAGCCTTTCATCTTCAGGTTGTTTTATTGGTGTTAGATGTTAGAACTTTTTATGTCTACGAACTACGTCAAACCGAAACTGTTGTCACAGACATACACCATTTAGGAGCCCTTTCTAGAAGGTTTCACATTTTGATTCCTTCAAGTTTACGGTAAATGCTCTAATAGAAGCCCATCCTATACGTACAATTTAAGCTCAATTATCTCGGTGGTCATGAAAGATATCAAAAATTTACTAAATGATAAAATGTTGGTGATAATATGATCAACATTTTATCAGTTGACCAATTTTTGATAGCTGTAACAGGAAATGAGAAAAACCCGGCTTGAAGTTAGGATCCCCTTTCAAGAGCTTGTGCCGCCAATACCCGCCACTGATCCATCGCAGCCAAACTTTGAGCCCATATATCTCGTTTCCTGTAAAAGATATCAAAGCTTGACTGACTGATAAAATATAGGTAATATTATGATAAACATTTTATCAGTTAATCACTTTTTGATATCTTATGAAGGAACCGAGATAATTGAGCATAAAGTGGACGGTTTGGTTGTTTATCCTATTTTCCCGAAAAATTCAAAAATCTAACCTACTATTACACCTACACAATTTTCCATAAAAAACCTATATAATTATCAAATTTTTCTTTTACCTCAACCAATCACCCACCCACTTTCAACTTTAACTATACATTGCATTTGTTTTTTTCAATACAAAGAAATCGAACTTTAATTAAATGAAACCGCAACACAAGCAAGCCCCAAAAAATTCAATTCTCCAATTTATGTATTCATGCAAAAAAACGTATGCGTTCTTTGCTCACATTTCTTCTCTCTTTCTCTGAAATTTGTTTTCTTATTGCTATTTTTTTCTTCATTTTTTTCACCCATTTGCTTCCAGAACCCTTCATTTATATTCATTTTATGCACTCAATTCTTCATATCCTCCTGACTGAAAAAGTGCTCAAAATACTGGAAAAGTAACGGAAAAACAATGGCACTGGAAGCGAAATCCTCCCTGCAGCGGGTCGTTTCAAGACCTGAAGTTAAGAAATTTCGTAAGTTCTGAAAATGCAACTAAAGACCAAAATTGAAATTTTTCAGCATTCTTTCATCCGTTTTCGAGAAGATTACATATCTGTTTGCTTTGTATGGTGAGTGGGATTGTATTTTTGGTAATTAGGAGTTAGCAAAATTCGTTTTGAAATCTTATCAGATTTTTATGAAATTGCAATTCCAAATTTTATCAGAAATTGAAAGTTGATTTACCGTGTTTCCTCTTATAAAAGCCCACCCTAATTGTCAATTTTGAGCTAAATTATCTCAATTTCTGTAAGAGATATCAAAAATTTGTCAACTGATAAAATGCTTATCATATTATCAGAAACATTTTGTTAGTTAACATTATCAGAAACATTTTGTTAGTTAACGCTTTTTGATTTCTTTCACAGGTACCGAGATAAATTACATAGGTCTAAGTTAGATATATGTACGGTTCTTATAAAACTTAATTTCAAAGAAATCGAAATTCGATTTAACTTCAAAACTCTCTATTACAGGCCGGTTTCTGTTGTACAACATTCATGAGAATGCACATTGCAATCACCATGACCTGTATGATCAATTCAACTGCATTGGTTTATGAAAGTGAATCAGCGATCGTTGACAACTCATCGTCTATTTTTGAAGAGGTATTGGAGATTCTTCAGGATCCAGGAGCATAGTTTTCATTTAGGTTGAATTGGTTTCCAATGGAGCGTGCTCTGCAAATAATGACAATCATAAGAAGGTGGTGGTGGATTATGGAGTGAGTTTTTGGGATAATTTGTTAAATCGATTTGGAGTTCAAAAGTTCCCAGGAATAAATTTTATCTATTTTTATCAGTACGAGACAAATGTTTCTAGGGTCAACTGGTGTGGAACAGCCAAGAACAGAATCTAATCTTCTCCGGAACATTCTGGGGATCCATCATCACTGTGCTCCCATCAATGTTCTTCATCAACCGCTATTCTCCAAGATATGTTCTGCAAGCGGCAGTTGGTTGTTACATTCTGATGACAGCCATCACACCATACATTGCCACTCATTTTGGACCATATCCAGTATTCATTTCAAGAGTTATCATGGGATTGGGAGAGGTGCGACTAAAACAAATTCAGCAAAATTAGAAGGTGTATTACTGACTTTGTGAAACTGTGAAATTTTTTTATGAGTCAGTATGCACGATAATCAAAAAATGGGATGGAATACTAAAGTACATGAAAACTAAAATTTCAAATTTCAGGGTTTCATCCTACCAGCCAACAATGCAATTCTAGCCAATTGGTTCCCAAGTGCCGAGAGAAGTACAGCCATATCTCTTTTTACAACTGGAAACCAGATGGCTGGAGCAGGTGGAAATCCAGTGGCCGCGTCGTTATGTGCTTCTTCATTTGGGTGGCCTTCAATCTTTTACTTTGCTAGTGAGTTCTATGATAACCGAAGTTCTATGGACACCTTAAAACCTGAACGGTCTTAAGAAGAAGGACCCCTCTAATTGAAGGCTCCCTTGTAATAATAGGACCCTCTGGAGGCACTTTGTTGTGACCTAACAATAGAAGGGTCTGCCCTTCTGGTACAGGGTCTACGGTACGTTGTAGAAATGGAAATATTTGATATCATAAACTGTCCCCACTTCTTGCTGTCCAAATGTCTAACATCTAATTGTTTTCCATTAGAAAAATTCCAGGCATTGTATCCACAATATGGTCAGTCTGCTGGTTCCTTACTGCTTCCAATCAGCCATCAAAATGCAAAGTCATGACAAAAACAGAGAAGGAGTATCTAGAAGCAAATGTTGTCCGGAGATCTAACAAGACTAATGTGAGTATTTATACAAATGAAAGAGGTACCGTATTTGCTCTAATAGAATCCCGCCCTATTTGAGCTCAATCGTCTCGGTTTCTATGAATAGAGTAGTAAACTGAAAAAATATTGGTGATATTCTGATAAACATTTTATCAGGTGACATATTTTCGATATCTTTTGAAGGAGCCAAGACAATTGAGCTCAAACTAAACTTGACTTTTTCCAGCGCTCCTTGGTTGTTCCATACTCCAAAATCTTGAAATCTCCGGCTTTCCTTGCCCAACTTTTATGCCAGTTTGTGATTAACTCAATTGTGACACTTCTCCAAATCTATCTTCCAAACTATTTCAAGAATGTTCTCCATTTGGGAGTTATTGCGGTATGTTAAACAAATTTGAGCTACCGTAATCCGAACAATTTTCCAGAACGGAACTTACACATCTGTCCCGAATATTGTGAATTTTGCACTGAAAATTGTTTGGGGAATTGCTATTGATAAAGCAAAGGAGAAAAAGAAAATCAGTGGAACGTTTGCTGTGAAACTGTCACAGTCTATTGGTAATATTGATTTGAGATCAAAAACTAAAATAAGCTTAAATTGGTTTTCAGCCAATTTCGGTGGTGCCATTTTCATGATTCTCATAACATTCTACGTGGATTGTACCAATCCTCAACTCGGATTTTTCTTTTTCTGTATGATGTGAGTTCAAAAAAATGATAGAATCCACTCGTTCAGTTTTGACCTATCCTAAAACCTGTAACAGACTGGATCTCATACGGACAAGTTTGAGCCAATTTATCTTGTTTCCTGTCAAAGATATCAAAATTTTGTCAACTGATAAAATGTTTTCGATATTATGATAAACAATTTATTAGTTGACAACTTTTTCATATCTTTGACAGGAACCGAGATAAACTGGCTCAAAGTTTCAAATGCCTATTTTTCAGGTATTGCTGCATGGGAACACTTGTCTCTGGATTCTACACATCGCTCCTCTCCCTGGCTCCTAAATACACTGCCACCATGTCTTCGATATCTGTTTTTTGTGCTATGCTGGGCAGATTATCCACTCCTGCTATTGTTGGATTAATCAAGAAAAATGTGGGTTTCTTTTTTTGAATATCAGAAAATTTAAAAATAAAAAATTCCAGAACACTCTTTCCGAATGGCAGTCGTTGTTCTTGGTTTGTGCAGGTGCAAATATTGTTTGTGGAGCAGTGTTTTTGATTTTTGGATCAGGTAAATTTTCAATTCTCAAGAAGATCGCAATAGGATTACTGTAACGTTTGTTTCCAGGAGAACTTCAAGAATGGGGCGAAGAAGACCAGGAGAAGGAGATGAAGCCGTTCGGCGAGAAGACTCCGCTGGCAAGCATTCAGAATCTTCCAGCCGATTCTGAAGACGTTGACGTCTTCCAGTCAGCGTTGGATATTGACATTCCTCAGATTCAACTCAACGAAATCACGCTAACCACAGAAGAACGACAGCGATTCCAGAGAAGAATCCGCGAAGATTCCATGTGTTTGTAGTCCTATATTCTTTGCTTCTACCACTTTTGTTCCATTTCTATCAAGTTCATGATCTCGATTCGTGTAGTTTTTCTTTTCTTTCTGTTCTCTCTCCCCGACTTTATTTTTCTTTTCAGTTGTGAAACTTGTGATAATTTATTTTTCTTCGTATTGAACATTTTAAATAAACATTTCACATATTTAGCTAATAAACTTTTTGTTTTTTGAAGCTTGAACATTTAAATTAAAAAATTTTAAATTTCAACTCAAAAAATTCACTTTTTACTGTAAACCTTGATCGTAGCGAGACGATAACGCAAGAAATCCGTTATGCGCCTTCTAAAGATAACGGTATCAATGAAAATTTGCTGTTTTCGATTTTTCTCGATTTTCGCCGGAAGTTTTTAGAATCTTATGAAAATCTAACAATTTAAACATACATTTCACATATTTAGTTAATAAACAAATTTCTTAATGCTTGTACATCAATTGCAAAAAGTAAAACCTTAAAAATTGCGTTTGGACGAATCGTGGCGAGACAAGAGTCCAAAATACGCTATGCGCCTTTAAAAGAATACGGTTGTTATAAAAATTTGGGGGACCCGCTACTTTTNNAAAAAATGACCCTGACGAGTGGACGAATGCTTCGTCATCTTGCATTCTGAAAAAGCTGCAAAAAGATGTCAACCAAAATTTGGAGATGTTCCGATGACCTCCAAAGTTTTTTTGTTTAATAAAAAATAGTTGAATTTGAGTCAGCAGAATATATAACTGAAAAAAGGGAAACCAGTTTTGAAAGAACCTAGTTAGTAGAATCACATAATTTGCAG